GAGACAATATACAGCCTTGATGTACTCCTTTCCAGATTTGGAACCAGTCTGTTGGTCCATGTCCAGTTCTAAGTGTTGCTTCTTGACCTGCATACAGGTTTCTCAAGAGGCAGGTCAGGTGGTCTGGTATTCCCACCTCTTGAAGAATTTGCCACAGTTTCTGGTGATCCACACAGTCAAATGTGTGGATGCTTTGGCATCGTCAATAAAGCAGAAATAGATGTTTTTTCTGGAACTCTCTTGCTTTTTTGATGATCCAGCGAATGTTGGCAATTTGATCTCTGGTTCCTCTGCCTTTTCTAAAACCAGTTTGAACATCTGGAAGTTCACGGTTCATGTATTGCTGAAGCCTGGCTTGGAGAATTTTGAGCATTACTTTGCTAGTATGTGAGACGAGTGCAATTGTGTGGTAGTTTGAGCATTCTTTGGCATTGCCTTTCTTCTGGATTGGAATGAAAACTGACCTTTTCCAGTCCTGTGGCTGCTGCTGAGTTTTCCAAATTTGCTGGCATATTGAGTGCAGCACTTTCACAGCATCATCTTTCAGGATTTGAAATAGCTCAACTGGAATTCCATCACCTCCACTAGCTTTGTTCATAGCGATGCTTCCTAAGGCACATCTGACTTCACATTCCAGGATGTCTGGCTCTAGGTGAGTGATCACACCATCGTGATTATCTGGGTCGTGAAGATCTTTTTTGTACAGTTCTTCTGTGTATTCTTGCCACCTCTTCTTAATATCTTCTGCTTCTGTTAGGTCCCTACCATTTCTGTCCTTTATTGACCCCATCTTTGCATAAAAATGTTCCCTTGGTATCTCTAATTTTCTTGAAGAGATTGCTAGTCTTTCCCATTCTATTGTTTTCCTCTATTTCTTTGCATTGATCACTGAGGAAGGCTTTCTTAGCTCTCCTTGCTATTCTTCGGAACTCTGCATTCAAATGGATATATCTTTCCTTTTCTCCTTGGTTTTTGCTTCCCGTCTTTTCACAGCTATTTGTAAGCCCTCCTCAGACAGCCATTTTGCTTTTTTGCATTTCTTTTTCTTGGGGAGAGTCTTGATCCTGTCACCTGTACAATGTCATGAACCTCCATCCATAGGTCATCAGACACTCTATCAGAACTAGTCCCTTAAATCTATTTCTCACTTCCACTGTATAGTCATAAGGGATAAGATTTAGGTCATACCTGAATGGGCTAGGTTTTCTCCACTTTCTTCAATTTGTCTGAATTTGGCAATAAGGAGTTCATGATGTGAGCCACAACCGTTATGGACATGTGATCTCTGATATTTTGTAATTTCAAATAGTGCTGCAATGAATCTGCTTGTGAACATGTGGTGCTGTTTTCTATAAAAATTGCTGTAGGTGTACATTTAGGATAAATTACAAGACATGGGATTGCATGGATAATCTTTCTGTAGATTGCCAAATTCCTTCCAGAGGGTTTGTGCTCTTCTGCACTGCCACCAAGAGCGCATGAGTTGCTGTCTCCTCTCGGCCTCACCAGCCGAGGATGTAGGTGGTGTTCTGAATTTTTGTATGTCTGATGGGTAAGGAATGAAATAGTTCAGAGTGGTTATATTTTGCATTTTTCTTAGAATAAAATAAGTTAAGTGTATTATATGTTAGGCTTCTAAGCGACTTTTATCTGGTATCTATGTATATAGATGGGCTTCCCAGGTGGCTCAGTGGATAAAGAATCCACCTACAATGCAGAAGATGCAGGAGACATGGGTTCGATGTCTGGGTTGGGAAGATGACCTGGAGGAGGCCACGGCAACCCACTTGAGTATTCTTGCCTGGAGAATCCCGTGGACAGAGGAGCCTGTTGGGCTACAGTCCATAGCGTTGCAAAGAGTCAGACGTGAGCATGTGCGCTCTCATACGTGCATATATATAATTTTTTAACAGCTTTATTGAGGTAGAATTAATAGTTTAAAACTGCATATAAGGTGACGAGGAAATAAGCTTTCTAAAATTTTTATTTATTTTTGGTTGCACTGGGTCTTCGTTGATTAGCGTGGCTTTTCTCTAGTTGTGGGGTGTGGGGGCTACTCCAGTTGCAGTGGCTACTCTAGTTTCAGAGCATGGGCTCTAGAGTGCACAGGCTTCAGTAGTTGTGGTTCCTGGGCTCAGATGTGGTGCATGGGCTTAGTGGCTCCATGGCATGAGAGATCCTCCCAGACCAGGAACTAAAACTGTGTCTCCTGCACTGGCAGGCAGATTCTTTACCACTGAGCCATCAAGGAAGCTCTACAACTGGGTTTTGTATATTGATCTTCTCTCCTGCAATTTTCCTAAATGCACTCATTAGTTCTAGCAGATTTGTAGATGTCATCAGCTTTTCTACAAAAACAATGATGTCATCTGCAAATAGGGAAAATTTTATTTCTTCCTTTCTAATCCATATGCCTTTGATTTCCTTTCTTGGGTTTACTGAACTGGGCAGAACTTCCAATACAGTGTAGAGTAGAAGCAGTGAGACTGGAAATGTTTTGTTCCTAATCTTGGACAATATATCATCTTTCACCATTAAGTATGATGTTAGTTGTATGCCTTCCATAGAAATCTTTTATCAGGTTGAGGAAGCTTCCTTCTATTCCTAGCTAGCTGCGAGTTTTTCTCATAAATGATTTTGTATTCTGTACATCTGCATTTAATAGATCTTTTCTACATCCACTGAGATAATAATTTTTTAAAATTAATATGGTGAGTTATATTGAATTTTGAATGTTAAACCAGCCTTGCATTCTTAGGAAAACACCATTTTTGTCTTAACATTATACTATAATTCTACTTGCTAAAATTATTTTTAGAATTTTTGCATATATGATCATGATAGATACTGGTAGTTTTCTTATAATATTTTGTCAGTATCAAAAGTAATGCTGGCCTTACAGAAGAGTTGTAAATTATCCCCTTGATTCGGACTGAATTGGGTCCTCCTCTCTCCCATTCCAGTTGTATGTGACTGTATTTGGAGGTGGGGCTAGCTGGAAATAAAAAGGTTAAATGAAGTCATAAGGGTGGGGTCCTGATACAATAGGATGGATGTCCTTACAAGGGGGAAAGACACTAGGGCTTGTGCTTACTCTGCCAAAGGACATAGCAAGGCAAAAAGGCAGCGCTCACCAGGAACCAAATTGGCAAGAACCTTAATTTTGGACTTCCCGCATCTAGAACTGTGAGAAAACAAATTCCCGTTGTGTGAGCCACTCAATCTATGGTATTTTGTTATGGTCCCTGAGAAGACCAGGACACCCCAAAACATTTTATATAAGTTGAATTCTTTTGAAATTATTGACACTGGTTTCCTTTCCAAAATTCTGAAAGTCTGAATAGAACTGGTAACATTTTTCTGTTAAATCCCTGTCACTCACTCCTGTTAAACAGTGGTAGAATTTGGTATTCAGGTCTGGAATTTTCTTTGTGGAAAGATTTCTAAAAACAAATTTATTTTCCTCAATAGATGGAGGATTATTCAGGTTGTCTATTTCTTCTTGACTTTGTTTTGCATGGAATTTGTTCATTTTTAAGTTGTCCAATTGTTTGATGTGCCATTTGTAATATTCCATTAGCCTTTTTTTGGCCATACTGCGCAGCACACAGGGTCTTAGCTCCCAGACCACAGTCTGAATCCACACCCCCTGCCATAGCACAGATGCTTAACCTCTGGACCACTGCAAAGTCCTTAGCCTTTAACATATGCATAATCTTAGTTAAGTCACCTCTGTCATTTCCAATAGAAGTCTAGCAGGGGGCCTACACCCCTTGCCCAATTTAGTCCTGGCTCACTGCAGGGCCCATCTCTCTCCCTGTTCCAGCTCACCTCTGTTGGCCCAGAAGCCTCCAGCCCAGCGGGTCCACCTCCTCCCTTGGCTTGGAGGGGCTCAGCCTTCCCTGGGGCCTCCCTGCCCCTTACTCCCTCCCATCCAGCCTTCATTCCTCCGAAACCTGTGTGTGTCAGTGGCGGTCAGGCTTCCGCTGGACTCGGCCAGTTAAGCAAACGCTCATCTAAGTGTTGCTATGAAGGGATTTGGTCCATCTGGTGCAGGTCTACAACCAAGTGACTTCAAGTAAAAATTACTCTCAATAATGTGGGTGGGCATCCTCCACTCAGTTGAGGCCAAGGAGAGAAAACCCAAGGTTTCCCTGAGGGAGAAGGAATTCTGGCAAGGCTTCCCTAGGCGGGGTCCTCCACAATTATGCCAGCCGATTATCAGACTGCCTACCTGTCTCCTCCTGGTCGTTTCCTTGATCGAGGGCCCCTTCCCTGGAGGTGTCCAGCCTGTTTTCTGGAGCCAGGTATCCCCCCCCGCTCCTTCCTGCGGAGAGCAGAGGGTGGTACTCTCTGGGGTGCCAGGACAGTGGAGGCTCACACAGCTGATCAGCAGGCAGGATGAAAGGATGCCCAGACGCCAGAGTGAACGTGCGGTTTAATCATGGGAGACAACATCTTTACCAGATTGGTGTAAAAATGAAACAGTACAGACATGGTTCTTTACACAGACAATTACAGTAAATTTCAAAACCCACGCAGCAATTTGAACCTTATTTCTTGAAAAACGAACACAGACAAATAGGGTGGGTGCCCAGCGCCCAGGGCTGCTCCGCGCGACCTCCGGCATCATGGGGCCCCGGGCCCGGCTGCCACAAGCGCCGGCCTCACAGGTGGACCGACTGTCATCTCCACTCCCCGCCCCCCCTGCCCCCCCTGGCGACGCAATAAATAGGAGAATCCAAACAGAAAAATGACGACCACACCTGTGCGGCAGAGCCCGTGCGGTTCTGGAAGCTCGGCCCGGCTAGCGACTCAGCTGACTCTTCACAGACCAGCCAGGTCTCCAAGTCGGCGGCGCCAGTCCCTGCCCTGCGCCCAGGGCAGCCGCGGGGTGGGGGTGTGTGTGCGTGTGCGTGGGGGTGCTGGTCCTATGGGCGCCTGCGCGCGGGGTGCGGTGCCAGGGTCGGCAGGTGGGAGGCAGGGGGCGGGCCGGTGGCCTAGCCCTCCCGCACGCTGACACGTGGCTCGGCCAGGGAGCTGTGAATAATGCTAAGGATGGACTCCAAGCCGCTGCCTTCCAGCAGCGTGCGGTGGTCGCCCTCGATGACGTGCACTGACACCTTGCCGTCGCACACCTGGGACAGATTGTAGTCGGCGCCCAGGCCGTTCCCATAGGTGCCGCCCATCTTGGCGCGTAGCAGAGTCACGTTGCCGTGGTAGGTGGCCTGTGGCGTGTACTGCTCGGCGGCGCGCAGCTTGTGGTAGAAGGAGCGCGCAGCAAAGCTGAGCGCGTGCCGGTCCAGGCTCGCATGGCTCTGCGCGATCAGCTCGACGGTGGCCGCCACACGCGCCTCCAGATCCCCGAGGGGCAGAAGGGCCTCCAGCACCTGTAGCACAGGACAGTGAGTGAGCAGCACCGGGGCAGGGGCGGGGGCATCGGGAGGCCGGGCCCCAAGCCGGGTCGACTCACCCTGCTGTGCTCCGCCTCCGTGAACTGCTGCATGAAGAAGCACATGGCCTCAGCCTCCGCCTCCGCCTCGCAGCCAGGGTTCATCTTGGCCCGGTAGCTCTACAAAGAAAGGAACTGCTGCAGTGGCAGGTACAAGGGGTTGGGCCTAAGGACCAGGGGATTCCCGTCCGCTGCCGCCCTCACCTGAGTGTAGGCCATCACGAAGGTGTGGGAGCCGTCAAACAGGAAGAGGCTGTTGTTCGTGGGGCCACTGCTCTGCTGGGCCTGCAGCTGTGAGCACATCTCGAAAGCCACGCAGGCCCCGTAGGAGTAGCCAGCGATGCGGTAGGGTCCCTCTGGCTGCACCTGCCTGATGCACTCGATGTAGTAGGTGGCCAGGCTCTGGATGCTGTCCAGGGGTGCCGCTGTGGGCAAAGCATGAGGCTTATTAGCCCTTGTCTGCAGGTGCTGTGCCATCCCCAACTCTCTGGGGGGCAGCCTCTTAGGCCCCTGACATACCTCCTGTACACTGCAGGCCGTAGGTGGGGATGCTGAGCTTGGCGGCCAGGCTGTGGAACACGGTGGTGGAGCCCTCAATGGGGTGCACCAGGAACAGGGGCCGCTCGGAGCTCTGCACTGAGTTGAGCCGTGTCAAGGTCGGGCCCTCAGGGTTCACCAGCAGGGTGCTCAGGTTCAGCTGGGTCTGCGGCTGGGCAGGGCTCCCCAATTTGGGTGTGGAGTCCGTCAGCTCTGTGAAGAGGAGCAGATACCAGGGACGATACCATAGGGGTCCCCTGCCACAAACACACATACATGCACACATGTTGGCTGCGGGTGGCCAGGGCAGGTGGGTGGGGGCCGCTGGGCGCCCAAGGAGGGCTCTCAGGAACGGGCCAGATGGACAAGCCCTGATCTGCTCGGAGGCCAAGAGCCCTGAGGGGACAGTGCTGCTGCGGGGACACCCCCTCCATACCTACCATCAGCTGTGCCAGCCTGCGCGGAAATCTCCTGCAGCTTGCGGATTGTGAGCTGCCGGATTTCCCGCATGGACAGCGCCAGGTTGTGCTCACGCTCCAGCATCTGGCGCACCTCCACACCCATGAGTGAGTCGAGGCCAAGGTCTGAAAGCGAGCTGTCCGGGTTGACGGTGGCCAAGTCATGGATGCCTGGGTGGGGAGGGGGTGGGGAGGTGGCTCAGTTGGCAACGCGGGAGGGGCCCTGGGTGGGTATTGTACCCTGGTGACTGGATCTTCCCAAAGCATCATCACTATGGACATGGGACCCATAGCCCCCACCCACCTCTGCACAGACCACCTGTGCCTCTCCCTCCATGAGCAAGCCCAGCACGCCCCTCTTTGGCAGCCTGGCAGACCAGACTTGGGAGATGAGTGTCTGCCAGTGGGGAGGGGGCAGGGTGCTGCCTTACCCAGGATGTGAGCCACAGCCTTCACCAGGTCCTGCTGGCTGCCGCCGTCGCCATGGGATTTGGCCTTCTCCGCCAACACAAAGCTGCTCAGGACGGGGTGGGGCTGGTTCAGGAAGAGGTCTAGCACCTCCAGGCAGGAGGCGATGTGCTGGGGCAGTGTCCCGCCGATGACCATCTCGTTAGTGCCCTTCAACTCCACGATGAGGCCCACATCAGCAATTGCGCCCCACTGCACGGCCAGGCCTGTGGGCGGGCAGTGGCGCTGGGGTGAGTCGGGCTAGGTGTGAGGGTGGCTCCGAGGGAGTCGGGGAGTGGCAGGTGGGCCCACCTGGGAGGCCATTGTGCCGACGCTTCTCACATATGCGCTCCATGGTGGAGTTGGCGAACCCGTAGTTGGTCTGGCCGGCGTTGCCACGCCCGCAGCTCACCGAGGAGAAGACGACGAAGTAGTCCAACTCTGGGCATGCCTCCCGGGTCACCCTGTGGGTTCTTAAGTCACCCCCAGCCGGCTTCCCCAGCCCACCAGCTGTCAGGCCCAGGACTCCTGATTGCCCGCCAAACCGCCTCCCCTTCCCTGGACCTGTGGTCAGGCCCTAGCAGAGGCCCGTGGCCAAGCCTCCGGACACCAGTGCAAGGGCCGTGCAGGGGAGGGCAGGGGGGAGGAGGGAGAGGAGGAGGGAGGAGCCCACCTGTCCAAGTTCAGGGTGCCACTGTACTTGGGCTTGTTGACGTCCTGGAAGAACTCAGGGGTCTGGTTCTCCAGCATGGCATCTCTCAGGACCTGGGGTGAGGAGATCTTAGCACCTGCCTCGGCCCCAGGCCTTTGGAGGGCTTCTTGGGAGGGGCCCTTCCCTGGGCAGCTGGCTCCAGCCCCTCTAAAGCCATCCTCACCACAGCCAGGTTGAAGATGCCTCCTACGGGCCCAAGCTGGGCGGCCTCAGTGATAAGGCTCCGGGTGCCATCCAGTGAGCTGACATCGCTGGTGGACACTAGGACCTGCACCCCCTGGCGTCTCCACTCACGGACCTGCCTGGCTTGGTAGCCTGCGGGACACAGACGGTGGGAGGGGATGGGCAAATGAAGGTCGCGCCCCAAGCCTAGGTGCCCTGAGAGCACCATAAGGGGGTCTGAAGGAGGCCCTTCCCACTGCCCCACCCTCATGCCCGCCCTGGGGCCACTTACCTGTGCGGATCCCAGAGCGGGAGGTCAGCACCAGCTTCTGGGCCCCTCGCTCCACGAGCCAGTGGCCCAGCTCTAGGCCAAAGCCACCCAGGCCCCCAGTGATGATGTAGCTCTTGTGGGCTGGGTAGAAGGTCTTGCACAAGGCCGCCATCTGGGTGGGTTTGGCCCCGTGCAGCATTGCCTTCTGCTCTTCCTCACGTACCTGCAGCCCAAGCAGTGCCCCTGTTCACACAATGCAGGCAGGGGCAGGGGCCAGGGCTGGGGCCGGAGTGCCCCAGGGTCCCCCACTCACCTGAATGACCACTTTGCCGATGTGTTTGCCCTGGGCCATGTAGCGGAAGGCATCCTCCACCTGGGTCCTGGGGAACACTGTGCGCTTGAGGGGCTGTACTACACCCTCCCGGATGCCTGCCTTCAGCAGCATCGACACTTTCTGCCACATGGTGCTGTTTTCTTCAAAGAGTGCATCCAGCAGGACCCCATGGAAAGTCACGTTCTTCAGGAAGATGGCCATGCCTGGACAGGTGGGCAGGCAGGGGGCCTTACCACACAGCCCACAGCCCACCACCCTGCAGACCCCCACTCTGCCCAACAGCCCCCTGCACACCCAGCCGCCCACCAGGCCTGCTGCCCCATCTCACCCAGGGGGTGGTTGTTGGAAAGGTCAAATTTGCCAATTTCCAGGAATCGACCATGCTGGGCCAGGCACCGCACACTGGCCTGCAGCTTCTCTTCCGCCAGGGAGTTGAGGACCAGGTCAACACCTTGGGATAAGGGGGGCAAGCGGGGTCCCCATAGTGAAGATCACAGCCCGGCCAACCTGGCACAAGTCTGAAGGCTAGACCCTGTCCTGGCAGGGGCCAGTGTCTCCTCCAGTGTGGCTGGTGAGTGGGGGATGGAAGGAAGAGGGGGCTGAGGATACAGGTGGATGGTGGGTGGTGAGTGATGGGGACCACTCACCCTTCCCGGCTGTGTGCCACAGGACATGCTGCTCGAAGGATGTGTCCCGGGAGTTGGCAAAGCTGGTTTCGTTGAGCTGGGGGAACCTGGACTGGAGGTATGCCCGCTTTTCGGCTGACCCTGGCAGAGCGAGGCACACCTGGTGAGTCTGGGCTTTGGCAGCGCTTCCAGGCGGACAGTCCTGGGCTCTGGGAAGGGTCGGAGGCTTACCCACAGTGGTGAAGACGCGGCAGCCCAGGCTGAGGGCAATGGCGATGGCAGCCTGGCCTACGCCACCGGAGCCTGAGTGAATTAGCACTGTCTCCCCTGGCTGCATGTGTCCTCGGACTATCAGCGCGTAGTAGGCTGTGCTGTAGACAACGGGCACCGAGGCGGCCTCCTCCAGGGTCCTGAGGGCACAGTGCCGGGGTCAGCTCTGGCCCGACGCCTGGCCGCGTCCACGTCGGGCCCCGGACCCCAGCCCTGGTGACTCACCAGTTGGAAGGTACATCCCACAGGAAGCTCTGAGGCACCAGAGTGGAGGTGGCCAGGCCTTCGGCGGGTACCAGCCCCATCACGCGCTTCCCGCCGGCATCTCGGCCAGAAAACTCCATGCCTAGCATGCAGTCCCGAGAGGCCCAATTTCCTGGGGGCAGACGGCAGGTGAGTGGCCTGACCTCGCCAGGAGGAGCCTCCCAGGTTCCCGAGCACTGCAGGGTGAGGGCCCCTCTCGCCCCAGGCCCTGGCCTCGGGGGTGGTCTTTGTTTTGGTCCCCCTACTGTGGGCTGCCTGTACCTGGGATAGCGTCAGGGGACAGCTTGCCCGTGGCCAGCATGATGTCGCGGAAGTTGAGGGAGGCATAATAGATGGTGCAGAGCTGGACGCCAGGGCCCGTGGACTGGGTGTGGCGCAGAGGGGAGCAGACCCAGCGGATGGAAGACAGGTCCCCTCGGGTGAGGACATTTATGAAGGCGTGCTCTGTCTGCTCCTCGGGCTTGTCTAGGGGGTGATAGGAAGTGGAGTCCTTAGGATCACATGTGGCCCTGGCCTGGAGCAGGGCTTCTAGCCAGAGTCCTCTTGCCCTCTCCTCATCCACCCAGCCGGGAGGCAAGGAACCCGGAGGAGCAGGGCAGTCCCGGGGGGCTCACCTTGTTCCAGTGGGAAGTGGCGGAACGCTCCCCAGGCCCCGTCACGGTAGACGTTCATCACCAGGTCACTCTGGAGCACCTTCTGCAGCTCCAAGGACTTTGGGTCTGTCTCAGGGATGGGGGACGTGCTGTTGAGGTTGGACACCAGGACGCACCTGTGGGCAGCCAGACAGGTGAGGGGAGGCTGTGGTGGGGTCCTGGGAGGCAAGGGGCAATGTAGCACAGTGGGCATCTCACCGAATCCGGTGCCCGCCAGGCTCTCTCCGGAGACAGTTCACCAAGCCCACGACCCCTGAGGTGGTGCAGCCAACGGCCATAAGCCATACGGGCTGGGAGGAGGAATCGACCAGGATGTTCTGTAGAAGGACGAGGGAAGAGTTGGCTGGCGGGGGGATGGGGGTTCCCCATGCCCTGGCACTGGAGCTGGGTCAGCCTGGCCTGGTGGGGGCTGGGAAGGACTGACCTTCAGGGAGTCAACCCACTGGAAGCTGGTGTCCTCCACGGGCAGGAAGACTGGGCTGTCAGGCGGGGCCAGCCGGCGGCACAGGAAGAGCACCGAGCCGTAGAAGGACTTCTTCAGGGCCACCAGGTGCAGGGACGCTCCGGCAAACAGGCTCTCCCACTCATTCTGCCAATTGAGGGGGTCAGGGCTCGCAGCCTCCCGGCCCCGCCCCCACCCAGGCCCCTCCCACCTGCTCCCGGCCCCGCCCGCACCTGGCTCAGGAGGTGCTGTTGGCCTTGCTGTGGCTCGGGGCAGGTGAGGAAGGCGACAGTCTCTCCCAAGGGGTGTCCTCTGAGCAGCGTGTGCAGCAACAGGAAGCCTCCCTCCTTGAGGGCAGCCACCATGTTGCCGACAGCCGTGGCCGGGTCACCGAGGCTGGCCAGGGCACAGTTGCACACCACGAGGTTGGCCCCACCCAGGTTGCTGGGGGCCGGGTCTGAGGGGTCCCACTGGCCCTGGGTTATGTTGAGCTGCTGCAACTTGGCCTGGGCAGCCTCCAGGGCCTGGGGGTGGCGGTCAGTGGCTGTGTAGTCCAGCTGCAACAAGGGCTGGAGGTTGAGCAGCGCAGGGATGCGGGAATACAGTTGGCCGTCACCAGCTAGCACCTGGCGTGGAATAGTTTCTTGGATCAGCTGCCACTGGGCAGGCGTCCCCCAACCTCAGCTGGGTGTCTCCCAGAAAGGCCCACCCACCGACTCCACAGGGGTCACTGGCCAGTGCTGCCCTACCCACCACACCCCTGGAGCCCAGCTCCAGTCCCTTCCCAGTGCCCTCTTCCCCTTTGGTGTCTGGGAAGCCTCAGCACCATCTCAAGTCAGGCAACTTCACGTCTGAGAGGCCCTGGCCCTCCTTGGGGTCGGAACTGCCTGTATCTGAGTCCTTGTGAACTGGGCCTGAGGCTGTGCGGGGCACGCACCTCCACCACTTTCATCTTGAGGCTGGTCATGTTCTCCAGGGCAGTGTCCACGCACGCCTTGAGTGCTGAGGAGTTGAGGAGCCCACTGAGCAGGGGGTCGTCACACAGCAGGGCTCTCTCCTGGGCTAGGATCTGGTCCATCTCCATCTGCAGGTTCCCGTTGAGTTGCAGCTGGCAGGCGGTGGCCAGCAGCCGAGGCAGGCCCTGCTGTGGGGCGTCCTGGGGAGCCTGGGCACCGTCGAGCCCGGGAATCACCATCTTTATCCCCTGCTGGGCCACCTTGGTCTGAAGTGCCTGTGTCAGCCCTGGGGAGGGGAGAATCGCGTGTCAGGCAAGAGCCTCAGCTGGGCTGGGGTTCCTGAAGCTCCCCGCCACCTGGAATTGGTGACTGCTTGGAGCAGAACCCACTACCGGGCTCTGCCCGCTGACAGAAAATAGAGGGATGGAGTGGACCGTCCAGTCCTCCAGGGCTGGAAACTGGCATTGACCATTGGTACCACTAGGTGGGCAAAGGGCAGCCCTGCGCCCCATGCAGGTGTGAACCCCACAGAGTGTGGATTCCCCAGAGGGTGGGTTCCGTGCTTTGCTGGCCCTGGCAGTCCCTGCCCAGCTCCCACCACCATCCTGCACCCCTCAGCTTGGGCATGAGCCCTGGGTAGAGGGTGGTCTCATGGGTGATCTCACGCCTGTGCAGCTGGCTGGAGGCAGACAGGAGGGGCAAAATCTGTCACCTTTGTGCCGAGGCCCCCTCTGAAGACATCAGCTCCGGGTTGGGGGAAGCCAGGGGCGCTCCCAGGGGAAGGTATATGTAGACCTCACATGTAGGAGAGGCTGTGATGGGGTAACGGGGCCCAGGCACTGGGAGCTGGACCCTGGGATGAAGGTGGTGGGTGCAAAAGACTCACCCGCACACAGCTGCAGCTCCTCCTGCAGGGCCAGGTCCCCAGCCAGGCACCCGCTCTCCATGTATGGTGTGAAGCAGAACTTCTCCAGGATGGGCATCGGCTGGTCCTGCTGACGCCGGGGGGCCACCGAGGTGTGGACCCTCGAGATGTAGACACCGCCGGCCACCGTGGTGTCAAGACACCTGTTCACTACCACGTCGGCCACTGTGGGGACATGCTGGGTGAGGGTGGGTGGGGCCTGGCACGGGGAGCCATGCGTGTGGGACCAGGGCAGGGCTGACCTTGTGTCCCGTCCTGCAGCGTGTACAGCTTCTGCTGGTGGGTGGCCGGGTGGATGTAGATTGCGGTGATGCGTGTGGGCAGGCGTAGGTTGCGTTGGCCCGGGGCCAGGATGGACATCTGCAGCATGGTGTCCATGAAGGTCACCCAGTTGTCCTTCCAGAGCAGCTGGCCCGTGTTGCCTGGGGAGAAGGGGCTGTCGGTTTGGCCAGCCTGGGTCTCTTCCTGCCGTGGGCCCTCTTACCCGTGTGCCCCAACCTGGGGGGCCCCTTGTGGCCCCCTCACACCAGGCAGCAGGAATTGCCCCCAAAGCACAAAGTGGGACCTCCCTTGCACCTACCTTCGGAGCTGGTCTCGAGGACACCCTGGAAGTAGGGGCCATAGTTGTAGCCCCGCAGCTGTAGCTCCTTATACACGTCACGACGGCTCAGGTGGATGGCAGTCGTGGGGTCTGTGGGGTCCGTAGGGGTCGCAGGGTCCATGCCATACCGGTTGTCAAAGAGCTTGGGGTCGGGATCTTCCCACTGGTATACCTTCCCTGTGGGTGGGGGTGGCAGAAGGGCCTGAGTGAGGGCACGGCTGAGCCGGCAGCCGAGGTCCACCCAGAGACCCCCCAGCAGGGACCCTGTAGCCTGGTCCGGTGCCCCTGCTCACCGCTTACGATCAGGTTGCCATTCTCAGACACTTCGAAGGTGCAGGAGGCTTCCAGAAGCCGCACTTCCAGGAGTGCAGTCCCTGTGGGCAGCAGAAGAGGTCAGCTGCAGGGGTTAGCAGCTGGCCCTCTTGTCCCGTAGCCCGAGCCGCCCGCCTCACCTGTCTTCGGCAGGATGGTGGCCTGGTGCAGCGTCACATTCTCAAATACTATAGGCGTGTGCTCCATGTTCTGGTCCAAGGCTCGGGCCAGTGTCTTCCAGACCAGGCACAGGTAGCCGGTGGCCGGGAAGATGACGCGACCGTCGATGCAGTGATCCACCAGGTAGTGGTCAGGAGACTCGGGGTTGATGTCTGTGGGGCCGGGGCCTTAGTGCCACCGCTGCGGAGGGGGGAATCCACCCCGCCCCCCCGGCCCGCCTGCATCGCAAGGACTCACCGATCTTATAGACGGTGGCAGAGGAGCTGCTGGAGCCGTTGGGGAAGTCCTCTGCAGTGGGCACATCCCAGGTCTGGCTGTGGTCCCACTTGATGTGGGGGGAGATGAGGGGGGTGCCCCGGGGAGCCGGGAACTCCACAGGTGGGAATAGTCCGTTGGGGTTGACGTCGATGCTGGAGGGTGGAAGCGAGGAGTTGTGACTGCCCTGTCACACCCATGGTCAACCCATCTCCCCTAAGACCCTGGAGACGGCTGAGACGGGGGTTGGGGGCATGGCAAGGGTGTAGAGGTGGCCCCAGCACCCAGAGGTCCGCTTCCTGGGGACAATCTCAAGGCCGGCCTGTGGCCTGGCCGGTGAGGAGCCTCCCGGGGTTGAGCAGGGACGCACCCGGTCAGGTAGAGCCGGCCTATGTTGCTGAGGAAGAACTCCAGGTTGTCCTTGTGGTCCTTCTTCATCAGTGGGATGATGGTGCAGCTGGTCTTGAGTCCTCTCTTCAGGACGGCCTGCAGAGGCAGAGACAGGCTGGGCCTCCCCCTGACCAGTTGCCACTGGCCCCCCCGCTCGGTCCCACGGAGCCCGGCCAGCCCACCATCCCTCCGGGACCACGCGTACCTGCAGCAGGGCGTGGGGTGCGATCTCCAGCACCACAGCATTCTCGGGCACGTGCCACAGCGCCTCCTGGAACAGCACGGGGCTCACCAGGTTGTTCACGTTGTACTCAGCTGAGAAGGTGCGGGCCAGGCTCTCCTGCCACTGGGTCTTGGGGATGGAAGTGCTGAGCCAGCGTGAGGAACGTGGCTGGGGGTCCCGGATCACCTGCGCGCAGGGCCGGGCAGGGTCAGTCAGCCTGAGGGACCCAGGGCCCGCCTTCCCCACCCGTCCTCAGGGAGGACTCTGCCGCGCAGCGCGTGGACAGCCGCCCACCTTCTTGAGCTGCTGAAGCAGCGTGGGGGCGATAGCGTCCATGAAGTAGGAGTGGAATGCCATGCCGCCCGTCCGCACCTCCTTGGCGAACACACCCTCCTGCTTCAGCTGTTGCACGAACTCCAACATGGCAGCCTGGGGGTGGGGGATGCAGATAGGGAGGGATGGGGGCGCTGACAGCAGTCCAGGCCTGGGCCAGTGCCTGGCTCCCCACGCAGAGCGCGTCCTGGGGGGTGGGAGGGGACTTGGGGACGAGGCCTCGCTTCCCAGGGCCCACCTGAGGTCCTGAGATGGTGACGGTGTCAATGGAGTTGTGGCAGGCAGGCACGATGCCAGGGGGGCAGCGCTGCTTACACTCTTCCCAGGTCAAGCCTGGGAGCAGAAGAGAGCCTCAGAGGGTGCATGGGGAGCAGGCACCCCCACACGGCCCTCCCCGGGTAGGAGGACACTGCCTGGGTGGCCCTAATAACAGCTGCCAAGCGGCATCTTTACGAGGCAGTTTCACCCTTGCGGTTGTCTGGTCTCAGGCGGAGTTGTCATTAATGCCGTCCTACGGGTGGGAGCCAGTTTCGGGTCCCACGCCTGGCCCACCAGAGAGGGCCTTGGCCTTACTCTCCCGACAGCCCCTCTGGCTCTCTCTGGTCTCCTCCCATTCCCAACCCTGCCTGTCCCAAGTGTGAGCAGGCCCACTCCTCTGCCTGCAGCCTGCCCCAAGGGGTTCATATGAAAATCACGCTGGCCTCTACCGACACCCCCGTGGGCAAGTATGCCGGGCTCTAAGGCCATCCGGGGCACAGCAGGGCAGGCTATCAGGGTCGTTCTCACCCTGCAGTGAGGACAGTGGCTGGCGAGCTGCCCCCAGGCCCTGGCCTCTGCCCAGTGCCAACACAGAACGGTGCCAGTAAGATGCCCACCTCCCACGGAGACCCTCAGGCCCAGGGGTGAAGTGGGATGGGGGAGCAGAGGGCAGCACCTACCTACAGCTGCCATGGCCCCGGGCGGGATGTTGGCCTCCTTGATGCACTGGCCCCTCCAGTAGGCAGCGAGGACGGCCTCCTTCTGGGAGATGCAGCCGTCGGCATATCCACAGGCCACCTCACCCAGGGAGTGCCCGATGATGCCGTCGGGCTGAAGACCCATGGAAGTCAGCAGGTCTATGAGGGCAATCTGGAGGGGGGAACAGGATGGGTCATGCCAGTCATGCCAGTCCCAGGCTCACCGTCCTGCCAGTCCCAGGCTCACCGTCCTGCCAAGCCCACTCACCCCAGACCCCAGGGGCGCACCTGGATGGCAGTGAGGCTCACAAAGGAGACGACGATGTCGTCAAAGGTGGTCTCGTCTGTGCTCAGCAACAGCTGTGACACCTGCAGTCCCAAAGGCTTCACAGCCTCATCCGAGCGCAGGATGGAGGCGCGGAAGCTGCTCAGACGCATGAGGCTCAGCCCCATCCCACGCCACTGTGTGCCCATTCCTGTCCCGGAGGGAGATGTCAGGGCAGCGCCATGCAGTCCCAGCCCGTGTGGCCCTCGGGGACGACCTGGGGTGGCGTGGGGCGGGGTGGGGTGGGGGCTCACCGGAGCAGATGAACCAGAGCGGGCGCTTGCTGGCCGGCACCTGCTGCACCTCCTGGCTGCCCCCCTGGCTGCCCAGCACGGCGTAGCCGTGGAAGGGCATGGTTGCTGGGGAGGGGGCCGCGATGTCATTGAGCATGCTCACGAAGGCCAGGTTCTGGCTGTGCTGGAGGCCTAGCTCCAGCAGACCCTGCACACCCTCCAGGGTGCGCCCACTGGCCCGCAGCAGACGGGGCAGGGCGGCATGCGGGGCAGGCGGTGGCGGTGGCTGGGAGTTGGGCTGGAGGATGACGTGCACGTTGGAGCCACCGAAGCCAAAGGAGTTGATGCCCACGTTGCCCCCGAGGACGGGCAGGGGCCGGTCCACCACCTGCAGCCGCCCATCCTGCAGTGCTGGGATCTCGGGGTTTGGGCTGTGGAAGTGCAGGTTGGGGGCCCAGAGCCCGTGCTCCAGGGACAGCAGCACCTGTGGGTGCCTCGCGGTCAGCAGGGTGGCTGGCCTTGGGCTCCCTGCCCCTGCTGTCGGGATGAGCTTCAGGTATGTCCCCTCCCGAGGGCCCTCGGGGCCACCCCAGAGGCCCCGCCCACTGCAAGCAACCTCCTTCTCCACCAAGCTCGCCTTGCCCCAGTGCAGAGATCTGGTGACCAAGCCACATGCTCTGTCCCCTCTCAGCCTTAGGCTTCACCCAGGGCCCTGCCACCTCCTGGCCTGATTGGCTGTGGGTTTAGACAAAGGCTCCTTAGCCATTCCCCACTCCATCTCCCAAGCTAAGAGCTGCAGACAGGTGGCTATGCTGGCCCAGGGAGCCGAGACCACCTGAAGTTCCCACCACACCCAGAAGCTCAACCAGTGGCAACCTGGGTCCTCCAAGCTACCAGCTGGTCAGGAGGCCACAGGGAGGGCAAGCCTGGAGAGGCGGGCTGCCCTGTTGCTTCTGCTCCCTCTGGCTGGCCCCTTGTGGAGCAAGTATTGGGTGAAATGTATGGCCCCGTGAAGCCAGCAGGGACTGGCCACATGCTGGTGGCCTGCTCTCCGGGCCTTAGTTGGCCCACACCCCACAGCACAGCCTGGAGGGACCAACACCCCTGCCCCCCACAGCAGGCTGTAAGAAGCTGATGGGGCAGGGACAAGATGGCCCTAGACTCGCCTGCTTACCTTGGCCAGCGCCGCGAGCCCCGAGGCAGGCTCTGGGTGTCCCATGTTCGACTTGGTGGACCCAATCAGGAGGGGGCCCTTGCGGGTGCCACACAAGGCTTGCACAATGCCATTCAATTCCTGGGGGTCGCCCACCTGTGGGGAACTCAGGGAGGTCAGGACACCGCCCTGGTGCCTCTCTGGCATGGGATGCGGGGTGTGAGCAGGGCCAGGCAGGGGTCTCACCTTGGTACCGGTGCCATGGGCTTCGATATACTCCAGGGACTCCGGGTCCAGCCCGGCCGGCTTGTACAGGGAGCTGATGAGCTGCTCCTGTGCCTCTCCGGAGGGGTAGGTGACGCCTGGGGACGGGGCCGGGCCTCAGCACACCCAGCGCCGCCTGACTGCCTGCAGCCCCACCCTCACCCGCCCCAGGCCAGCTCCCACCTTGCTCTTTGCAGCCGTCCGTGTTGGTGCCAGCATTGAGGATGGTGGCGTACACCCGTCGGGCCAGGGACTTCTTGGTCAGAAAGACGGCCATCACAGCCTCTGCACGGCAGTAGCCATTCCCTGGGGGTGGAGGGCACTTCAGGCTCACAAGCTCAAGGAAGGGCTCAGGGACTGGTGCTGGATAGAAGCAGGGGTGGAGGCACTGCCCGGGGCCCCATGCCCACTGCCCTCACCTGATGCATCGAAGGACTTGCAGGCGCCCTCGGGGCTGAGCATGCCCAGCTTCATGAACTGCACTGAGGTGTTGGGCTTCAGCAGGATGTTCATGCCGCCCACAATGGCCATGGTGCACTCCCCTCTCTGGATGGCCTGGTAGGCCCTCTGCAGGGCCATCAGGCTGGAGGAGCAGGCTGTGTCCAGGGTAATGCTGGGCCCTGCAGGCAAGGACACAATGCAGCTGTGGGACTACCTCCCCACCCTACCACCTCGGGGCTCTGACTGCTCTATTGAGTGCTCTCCACGTGGAGCCCACGACACCAGGACCTTGTTCCTGCTGTCCTTCCTGGGGGAGGTGCGGTCAGAGTCTGGAAGGGTCTCAGTTGTCATCTGGCCCCTGCCCCCCGCTCCCAAGTCAGACCCAAAGGGACTGTGTGGGCACCCACCTTTGAAGTCAAAGAAGAAGGAGAGGCGGTTGGCCATCATGGCACGCTGGCAGCCCACCATGCTGTAGCCCACGAGGGTCTCAGGGTCTCGGCTTAGAGCCTCTGAAGCCTCAGAGCCACTCACACCCACCCAGATACCGGTGTTTGTCCCCCGAATGGAAGCTGGGTTGATGCCTGTGGGAGGCAGAAGTCAGACCTGCAGCTGTGCTGTGCCTAGCCTGCTGTCGAGCTCTGGGAGGTGAGGCGTCCCCCCTTGGCCTCTCTGGCTTGGGTGATCGCGTGCATGCTAAGTCACTTCAGTTATGTCTGACTCTCTGCAACCCTATGGATTGTAGCCCCCCAGGCTCTTCTGTCCATGGGATTTCTCCAGGCAAGAATACTGGAGTGGGTTGCTGTTTCCATCTCCGTGGGATCGACTGTGGGTTCAACTCTATGTTGTAGGGGGATTCTTTATCTTATGAGCCACTAGGGCTTGGGTGAGAGGAGGCTCCACCTCACCTGACTCTGGAGTGGCTGGGGGCCAGGGAAGAGACAGTGGAGCCTGAGTGGGGTGGCCAGCCCAGGGAGGGTGGACAACGGATAACCAGGTCACAGGAAACTGGGGTCCGGGGGGCAAGCGGGGTGCCAGGTGGGGCTCCAGTCTCTGGGTCAGGTAGCGGCCAGAGACAGCTGGAGGTGGGGACAGAGGACAGCATTGTCCCCAGGCTACTCCCCTGGGCACTGGTACTGCTGGCAGGGTCTGATGAGCCCTGAGGGCGGCCTGCCCTGGGCGGGCCAAGATAAGAAGACAGAGAGAGACAAAGGCCGAGTGTCCAGGCTTGGGGAGGGAGGGACACTGGCCAGGAGAGCGGCATCCAAGGTCTCCGGGTGGGGCCTGGGCAGCAGGAAAGCCTCCACCTCCCCGCCCCTCCCCCTAGGCAGTGCCTGTCCAGGACCCTGTCACACTCAAGTGACAACCCCAGGGACTACTTAGCATCTGCTGCAGGACAAGAGACCTGCAAGGCCAGGATACCCACTCTGCAAACCACAGGTGGCAGTAGGCAGGTTCCGGGTTCCCCCGCCGCCCACCTGCTGAGGGGCCTCACCCCCATGGCCAGCCTTCCCGCTCCCACCCAGCAGGACTTCCATGTCCCTGGTATCCCCGGGACAAGTCTGTGCCCTCAAAGCACTTTTTCAAGGCTAGACACAACCCAGCAGAGGGGAGTGGAGGGCAAGAGTCCTGGGGTCAGATCCTGCCTCCTGCTCTGCCTGGCACCTGGTGTCCTGCCCTCACCCCCAAGTTCAGCCACGCAATGGGGAGTGAGGAAACTGGGGTGATGGGACATGCCCAGGATACCTCTGGTGTGCAGTTGTGAAACCTGAGTTGCCTGAGGCCCACACCTCCCCACCCCGTCGGCCCCAGCCCGGGACTCTGCTCCCTCCTCACTATCTCCTGTTTTGGATGTTTTGTTATGAACACATGATGCTTTTAGAAGCAAAAAGGGAGGGTTTCAAGGGCAGCAGGAAACTCGGGGACAGGCCCTCTGCAGCCCCCCAGATAGCCCACCTGCATCCACAATGGCCTCGTAGGTGACCTCCAGCAGCATGCGGAGCTGGGGGTCCATATTGTGTGCCTGCTTGGGGTGGACCCCGAAGAAGGAGGCATCAAACCGGGACAGGTCCTTCAGCTTGCCTGACCGCCGAGGCAGGCCATATAGTCCTAGGGAACACACACAGGTGGAGAAATCAGTCACAGGACATCATGGCCCTGAGTGATTGATTTGGGGGGCAGAGCAGAGCACTGTAGGGGGCAGCGCTACCTCCTTCCACCTCCCACGGTCCTGACCTGGCTGGAGACCTTCTGCCTGGCCCCATCCTGGCCTGGCAGCTAAGGCCAGCCAGGCTCTGCCACACTGACTCACATCCTGTAGATCAGGTGGAGCCGCTCTGTGGGAGAACCTACTGGGCGTGAGGGAGTCAAACCAGCTTCCCGGGGGAGCCTGATGTCTTATCTGACAGCCTGGGACAGCAGGTGGGTGGGCCAGTGGGCGGGCAGTGGCTGGCCGGAGGTGTTCACCCACCTGGCCTTGCCCTGGCTCCACCCCCAAGCAACGCCCCTGGTCTGTGAAAGGAGCAAAGGCCACAACCAGGAACTCCAGACTCCCACAGGCTGGAGTTCAGTCCCTAGCCCACTGGCCAGAGGTCCCAGGTTCCCCTAGCCCAGAGCCTTCTGATACCATCTCCAGAAAGAGGCTGCAACATGGCCTCACCTTAGGTGACCGTTGGCTCTGCCAATGGGACTGGAGTGCAGGCCAGAACAGGCCTGCCCTGGTAACCCGGGAGACTGTGTCCACAGTAGCGGTGAGAAAAGAGAAAAGAACATCCCAAGTAGGCGGGGAGCCCCAGGCCGGCTTACCCGCCTTCCACCGCCTGTCATCATCTGTCACCATGTCCACGCCGCCGATGAGATTGGCCCAGAACTCCTCCAGGTTCTCCGACTCGGGCAGCTTCCCGGACATGCCAGCGATCACCACCTCTTCCATGGCTGCTCTCTCTGCAAGGAGGGTGGCGCGAGGGCCCAGACACTGGTCAGCCTGGGCCCCAACACTGTCAGTCCACAGCCTTGCTGGAGACCCAGCTGCTCCCCAACCCTGGCTTCCTGACGTCCCTCCTCCATCTGGCCCACCCAAGGGCCTGAGAACAGCAGCTCAGAAAGCCCTGCAACAAGATCCACATGGCCAGCTCTGGGGCTGTGCACCCGCTGGAACATTGTGTGTGCAAGTGTGTGAAGTGTATGTACAGTGGTTGGGAAGGGGAAGTCCACTCTGGTCCAGCCTGCTAACACCTCGCACTGGGCTCTCTGGGCATTGGCCTTGGCCTGGGGTGACCCCACCACAGCCCTGCTGCAGGAGACTCAGGAGGGGGCCCTACGGTGGGAGGCAGGCAGGGCCCAAATCCTTCTGAGGAAGGGACTGCCTGGCCGTTAGCCTGTTAAGAGGTGGCCCAGGGAATTTAGTAGGCGAAGGAGAAAGGGCAAATGTGGGGGTGGGAAAAAGCGCCCACACTGACTAGCTGGCTCTGCGCTCAGCATCCCAAGCTGCCCTCCAGGCCGGAACCACAGCTTGGGCTTCTCGACAGTGCCAAGACCTGGTGGGGCTCTGAGGAAAAATTGGTCCCTGTCCCACAGTGGGCAGCCCCAGCCTGTACGGCCCCTTCGGCAGGCTCCAACCTGGAGAACCACTCCCGGTTGGCTTCCAGGCAAGCGCTACCCAGACCCACATATTTGCACAGTTCGAGGCCTCAGGACTGTGCCTGCCTACTTCCGTGCAGACTGCCTGTCTACCCAGACCCAGGTCTCCCAGCACCAACGAGGGAGCTAGACTACTCTGAGCCGGTGGGCCCACGATGGGGGCTCCTGTGCAGTCCCTGAGGAAGGGGGCAAGGCCAAGGTTGGTCCTGCAAACTTCCACCAAGCCTCCAGGGCCTCATGGCGCCGATGACTGGTGAACTCGCCAACTACCGACCCTTTAGGGTTTCTCTGAGCATGGGAAAGTAGGAGTGGAGAGAGCGTCTTCCTTGGGTGGCCTGATGGCCCTGGCGTCCCGGCAGAGGGAGCCCCCTCCCCCAGCGCTGAATAAAGAGCCCTTTGCCGGCCCAGAAGCACCAGCTCCCGGGGCGGCTGCTTCTCCAGAAAGCGCCCGCTCTGTTCTCCCCCTACTTGCTATTCACACGGAGTCCGGCGGGACGAGGCAAAAGGGTGGAGACCCCTGCGGCGCAGGCGAAACCGCGCGCGCCGCCGCGAGGTTGCACCCGGCAGGAGTGGCTTTCCCCGCAGAACTCTGGGGGCTCCAAACGGAGCCCACGTGCTGGAGAAGCCGTCCTCATACAATCCTGCGCCTCCTGCATCCACCTCCCTCCCCTCTTCTCAGGCCCTCCGGTCGGCCGAGACAGCTATCCTGCACCCGGAGGCGGGAGGATGTCGCGGGTGGGAGGGTCTCGGCGGTCAAGCCGGAAAAGGAGGCCCTCGAGGGCTCCGGGAGCCGGCGCCCACCTGGCAGCTGGGGGCTCCAAAAGGCCCTCGAGGGTCCGCAGCCGCCCGGCCCAGCCCAAGACCAAAATGGCTGTTCGCGGCGTTCCCGGGCGTCCGCCCCTCGCCATCGGCCCACCTGCCCCGCCGGGCCTAGGCACGGCGCGAGGGCCCTTCGCCGCCTAGCCTCGGGCGCCTCGTGGGGCTCGAACATCCAGACCAGAGGCTCGGACCCCGAGACCAGAGCAGGCTCTGCGAGATGAGCCCTTACCATCAGCGCGCCGAACCATGCGCACCCAAGGCCGGAGGATGCGGGCCGGCGGCGACCCCTCGAGCCCGGCAGCCTTGCTCCCGCCCCAGCCCCCAATCCAGTCTGGCCCCAGGACCCGGTTCCCGGCTCGCAACTCCCGACCCCGGCCCGGCCTGGCCGCTTGTACCTGGTCTGGGCTCGGGCGGCTCTGCAAACGGCTGGGGGAGAGCGAGGATGGAGCGCGCGTTGGAGGGGAGGCCGCTACTGTCTCTCTGGCTCCCTCTAGGCCCGCGCCGGCTCTATTTAACCGCGGCCATCCCCGTGCGGACACGCCACATGGGCTGACAGCTTGGCTGCGCCGCCCAGGCCAATGAGCGTCGGGGCTGTGCCCCGGGACCCGGCGCGCCGCCGCCAGTGGGGTGATGCGGCGCGCTGTCGCCGGGAGCCGGGATCCTGCGCGGGGGCGCGCCCGGGGGGCGCCGGGTTGGGGGCCCCCGGACTCGGGGGGCTTCGGGGCGGGGCGCGGCGTCACCCCCGCCCCCCAACTTCCGTTTCGTGCTCCACGCCTCCCAGGGCCGCCCCCACCCCCGGGGCCGCGGGGGCCACGTGTGCACGGCGCGCGGTGGAAACGGAACGGGGCTTACTTGGGTCACTCTGGGGGTCATACTGGGGCCACACTGGGGGCTAGACGGACCCCTAGGCGTATGAATTGACCGGCCCGCGTCCGGGCTCCGCGGAGACGGGCCGGGGGCGTGGCTCTCTCTGCAGCCGCAGCCAATCGGGGGCCGGGGGCGTGCGCGCTGGCCCAATGGCGCCCCTCGAGTGGGCGTTGCTAGGTGATAGGGTGATGGGCCGGGCGGCCCCGGGCGCTGCGCGGGCCGCGGCAGGGCGAGCGCGGTCATTGACCCGGCGGAGGGTGCCCCGCGCGGGGTTACTGTCAGTCACCGCAGCGCAGCGCCCCGGGTCCTCCCTGCCTTGACGCCGAAATTCGCGGGGCGAGTGCTGGAACCCAGGGGACGCTCCGAGGCCTGGCAGGGGCCTCCCGCAGACGGCCGTGGGGACAGGGCGCAGCCATCTGGCGACCGGGCTATGCTGGGACACCTCTTGCTGTGGTTTGAACAAAGGAGTCTCCCTGGGCAGAGGCACTCGAGCGCGCACGTGGCCACTCTCACCCACGGGCACGCACACGAACCGACGGAAGTGCGTCCTTCCTCGCCCGCCCATCCTCCTTCTGTAACTCCCCTGCTCAAATGTTTATCCAATTTACACACACACAAAAAAGTCCTTGACTTTCCAGACTGAAAACACGTCTTGGGAATCACGTGAGTCCAGGAAGGACGGCCGGCTGGCCACGCCCTGCACAGCCCTTACTATCTCCTGGGACCACTGATGGACCCTTGTGAGGTCAGAAAACCCCTGGCAGAGGTGCTCGGCCGACTCCTCTTGTAATCAAACGCTGCTGCTCTCCTCGCCTGCCTCCTCGCAACTGCTTTTGTCTTGCTCTCAGAAACTTTAAACTGTGGAGCATGGCACTGGCCACAGATGTTCTGGGCAGGACAGAACGGGACTGCCACGTCAAACCAGATAACTTGGCTTCAGGTGCCCCTCCCTCAAACCCTACAGTGCTCCCTACACCCCCAGTAGTCCAAGTAGCAGCTCATCCCTCCTGCTCTAGGCTTCCTCTTGGCATCATCACTGGGGACTTCTGGTTTGCACACTGTGAAAGAAAGGGCAAGACAGGAAAAAAGGAGGGCATGGAGATCGCGCAGCTCAGTTGCTGTCCCAAATAACTTTGTGGGATTTTCTTTTCCTTCCTATTTAAGAGCTTTTCAGACACCTGGTATCCTGGATCAGGAGTGGGTAGACTGTGCTGCACAAACACCCTCAACTCTTGGTGTCTTAAACTATCCCAGGCTCACTTCCTGCTGGTCAATGGGGCTCTGCTCACTAAAGTCTACCAAGGGCCCAGGAGACGAGACGACTGCAGGCTGGGCGGCTGAGTTCGAGACCCTTGTTTGCACCACAGAGGGCTGGGGACTCACGGGATCTAACTATTTTTAGCAAAGCGGACAGGGCTCACTTTTTCAGCTAAAGGAAGTCCCATGGCCACATCTCACTTACATGGCCATGTGCCAGACAAAGCAGAGGACGGAGACCCTACCACCTGGCACCAAAGCTGCTCCTGGCATGCTCCTTCCTGGCACACTGGAAGAGACCTGCCATTTTCTCCGCAGCTCCCCAAACACTGTGTGCCCAGGATAAGCAGTGCATGGGTGGTTAGGACGTCAATATGCCTGTGTAGATTTTTATCTTCCTTCTTTTCACAGAAATCAAAGCCTGAAACCTAGATAAATGACATTCATAAAATGTATGCTTCCAAAGGGGCTTGAGGGGGGCCTTGGCCCCTCTTGAGGACAGGCTAAGCACCCCCCTGCCCCGTCCTCCTGTGGAGGGGCTGCCCACCTCTGCACCTAGCCAGGATGCATCGTTTCTCGGCCGTTTGGCTAAGATCAAGTGTAGCCAGGGTGTAGACTGGCAGTACACACGCCACGAGGGGCTGCCCTCTGCTCCACTTGGCAGGGAGAATGCTGTGAGTGAGGCAACGCTCTTTTCCACCGAAATGTGGTCCTTGGGAGGGCTGCCAATTGGCCCCTAGCACAGTAGCTGCAGGTCTTGTTCCAGGCCTCAGGCGATGACCCTGAGGGCTACTTTGGAACCCCCTCCCAATGCCCTCACTCCCTGTCCAGGACAGACATGCCCTGCAGGGCAGGCACACAGCACTCAAGGCCGGGAGTGAGCTTTGTGCAGACCTACTGTGTGCCCAGTAGCTGCCCACAGCTTCTCTGCTGCCCCCTGTCTGATTTCAGCTCAAGTAGGGGGCCTGAGGCTGGCAAGGAGGCCAGGAAGCCTCTCCAGGGGCCTGGGCCCCAGAACAACTGACCATGTGAACACAAGCATGGCATGTGCCAAGTGCTGCCTTGGTGCCAGGCATGGCTCTTAGCGAAGCTTCCGGGACACACATCCACCTCATGCTCGGGCCCTAAACAGGGGCCCTGGCCTGACACAGAGGTGGTGAAGCTGGGCTGAGAGCAAAAGGCCAGGACGGTCAACCTGCAGCCTCTGGGCTGGAGGTGAGAATGCAGCTCTGCCGAGGGTGCCGGTGGAGCTCTGAACACCCGACCTACGTCCCAAGCCTTGAAATGGCCCCCCTTCTGTGGATGGCTGGGCTTTTCTGCCCACCCTCAGTCCCCACGTGAACCAAAGAAGGCTCAGCTCTGGTCGCAGAGTGAATCCTGAAACCAGCATGTTGGTAGCAGGGTCCATGGAAAGTTGAACAGAATTTTAAGCTATGAGATCTCCTGCTCACTCGTGCGTGATATCGTAGTTGAGGATTGTAACTGGCTTTCTATTTTAAACTCAGATATAAATGGAGTGGTGTGTGTGATGGTACCAAAAGCACTCATGGTCGAACCTTTGAAACAAAAGAAACCGGGCCTTGAGAGCCACATGTGCAAAGCCCTGGAAATCTTTTACTGTTCTTCCCAAGTTCAAAGAAGAATTTGGGATTCGGTGGTCAGTCTGTGAGGTGCCTTAGCAGTTCACCACCCCCACTGTACACAGAAACACAGACACACACACACACAGACACACACACACACGTGCGTGCGCAGCCCTGACATGGAGACAAAAGCACCAAGGAGGAGGAGGGGAAGAAGACTGACAGATGGTTTGGAAGGGAGCAGGAGGGGAAAGGGGAAGAGAGGGAAGGGGAGGGGAGGAGGAGGAAGGAGGGGATCAGAAGGGGGAGGGGGAGGAATGGGGTGGGGCAGCAAGGAGGTCAGTCCTTGGAGTTGTAGTTCCGAATCTTGGGGGGCCGCTGGCAGCCTTTATGTTTTGGAGGATGAGCCCTGGGATGTTTAGCAGGCTTGCCCCTCGTCTGGGCTTCCATCTTCATCCCTTCAACGCCAAAGGCTGCCCACATCGCAATGGGGCTTCCCTCCGGGTGCTGGAGGCTACAGGCTGTCGGTGCTGAGTGCTCTAGCAGGTGAAGAGAAGAGAAAGGAGGGTGAGTCATCACAGGGCAGGAGGATGCAGTGCGCACGGAGAGCTGGGTTCACTGAGTGCTGGCCGAGCTTCTCGCCAGCAGGAACCAGAGATCCCATGTCAGCTTTCTTGTGGGAGCCCATGCAGGGGTCCTGGAGGACCTGGAGGTATCTGGAGGTCCTGGCCCTGGTGTCCCACACAGAGGGTCTGTGTGGACATGTGCTCTCCAGGTGTTCTGCAGGGCCTGGACCTGCCCTTCCACTGGGCACACAGGATATCTGGCTGTGAAAACATCTGTCGTGATCATTTCGTAACAGGTCCCACGGAAGTTCTGAGGTTAATGGTTGACTCACGGCACTTCCCAGGCTGTCATCTACCCTGTGCCCTCTGGCCATGCTTGCCAAGTATCTCCAGTGGCACAGCAACCCTGATGCGCATGGCCAGGCCCTGGTCAAGGATCCTGGAGCTACAGCACATGCTCTAAGTGTGGGCCACTGCTCCAGGGCAGCCCTCCCAAAATACTGGCAACAACTGTCTTTGCACGAGGGCACCCTAGGTGATGTTTGAAAAGTTCCTTGAGCTTTGCACTATTTTCCTAGTTTTTAAAACTAAAAATGTATTTCTGTTTTTAAAAAAATATACCAGGAAGATGTTATTAAAAAGCAATTGTGAGGCTATAAGGCTGTATTGTACAACATGTGGAATATGGACAGTATTTTGTAATAACTGTAAATGAGCATAACCTTTAAAAACTGTATACAAATAAATAAAAAATGAAAAAAAAAAAAAAAGCAGTGGTGAGATGATGCAAGCTCAGCAGCAGCTCTCCTTCCTGGGCTGACCCAGCATGCAGGGCCAGGGTCTGGAGCTCCAGGACAGTCTGTGCTAAAAGAGAACGCGGTGGTTAAGACGCTGTGTTTCCAATGCAAGGGGCATGAGTTTGATCCCTGGTCGGGGTCGTGATCCCGCATGCCATGTGGCTCAGCCAAAAAAAAAAAAAATGTAAAAAATAAAAGAACGCTGACACAGGGCGTCAAGACAGGATAGGTGGGGCCTGGCTGCCTGGTATTGGCATACACATGTGAGACACACTTCAGGGACGCACACTGTCTGCCCACGGTCGCCAAGCCCACCACCCTGGGCCTGGTGGTATGACGCTGGTGGTCTGGAGGGGTCCGCCCAGCCCATGGTCACGTGCTGCACAGGTGGACGACAGGGACCAATCTGGCCCAGACTCCAGTCTGGGGAAAGGCCAGCAGAGCAGCTGCACAGCCTCTGGAGGGAAAGAGCAGGGTTGGCATGGAGCTGGGTGACGGAAAAGGCCGGGACTTGGAAAGCACACACAGGGCTGTGAGCCAGGCTTCTTCCAGGGACTCCAGCACCATGAGCTGGGCGCTGGCCAGGCACCCAGGCCCTGCTCCCCTCTCTCATCTTGTGCTCTTCCTGCTCCTCTGGCCTCTGGAGATGCCTGGAGCTGCTTCTCCTTTCCTGGGGGGTTCAGGGGTCACACCCAGTGGCCTCCCCCTGTGCCCTAAGACCCAAAGCGGAGCCAGGTCCTGGAGCAGGGTGAGGATGTGGGTCCCTGGATGTCCCAGGTTTCCCTTTACTTCCTGTGGCCGTGGCTGCTTCTCCCTCATTGAGAGAGCACCCGGGCGCTTCGTGTGAATTCTTCAACCCCGGGTGAATTCTTCCTCTCTACACAGAGACCTTCTCATCCTAGATGCCTTTATAAGTGCTTATAAAGGAATCTCTGGTCAGCCCTGTCCTGCTAACTTGGTTTCCTTCTGGAAGGCCATTGCCATTGGGGAGGGTCAGGGTCAGGAGCCTGACCACTGCGATGCTGGGGGTCCCTCCGTACAACTTGAGGGACCAGCCCCTTCAAGGGTTGGTGGGCATGACCTGAGTCCATCCCATTGTCTGCCTGGGGGATGAGGCGTAGGGAGAAGGGACAGCCTAGGGCCTGAGACCTTTGTTTGGGAGGTCGAGCTCCCTGTGGCCGGTGGTTAGGAGCTGATTGCTAGTTCAGCCAAATGCCAGGCAGGTGGTTCCAATGTTTCTACTCGAAGCACAGGCCGGGCAGACCCACCTGTCTGCCTAGAGGCAGGGCCTCTGAGCTGAGGACGGCACAGCCAGCCTTGCAGGGCACTGGTTTCTGTCTGTCTCCCTGCAAAGTCGCCCTGAGGGGGTGACTGGCTCCTCCAGGACAGGCGTCCAGGGCATGGCAGTCCTGGCTCAGGTATGAAGCTGAACATGTCAGGCCTGCTCACCTTAGGACACTTCCTGTGCCCGAGCAGTGGTCTCCGCTTGAGTGATCTGTGCCTTCACCCAGACCAGGGGCTGGGTTGTGGAAGCAAGGCCCCCATCGTGCTCTCTGCCTTCTCATCTGTGCCTGACCTGTTCTCTCTTTCTGCTCTGGGCTCTGATGAGGCTTCAGGGACATTTAGGGTCATAGCACTTGCCTCCTACAGGCTGCTAGTACAGCCCCAGCCTTCGGGAAGGTTCAGTGAAATGCCCAAGACCTCCCAGTATGAACCTGGGGGCAGGATGGGGGCCCGGCAGGGGCTGACTGAGTCAAGGGGCTTGTGGGCCTGCCCTTTTGGTGGGTGGTCTTCCCCATGACCTTCCTGGCCCCTTACTGACCTGGAGCCTGGCATATCTCATGGACCAGTGCCCCGAGGGGGTGGGGGGGAGGAGGGTTAGTCTCCTGTCTCGGGGCCTCCTGGGGTTCTCTGCGCACAGGGGCCTGTAAGGGTCCCAGCTCTCTGGTGCCTCGGAGCTGCTGCCCAGCTCCCTCGTTATCTTCCCATCTGCCTGCCTGTCAGGGTGGCTCTGAGCACAGGCACATCAGGCCTCTAAGGGCAGTTGGAAAGGCACTCCCCAAGCTCCTGAAAAAGGGGATATGGAGCCATGTGTGCCCTGGTTCTCCAGAACCTTCTGTGGAGCTGGGCGCTTCTTGAGACTCAAGTCCTAGTTGTAGCCTTGGCCACAAGGGGCAGGACCACCTCAGGCTCACTTCAGCCTCTGCTGGTCCTGCCAGGCCTTCCCTCTCCTCTTTGGGGTGATCCCCTCTGGGTGCTGATGGCCCCTCGCTTCTGCTGAGACCTCTCTCCTGCTTCCCTGGGAGCCCCTTGAGTCCCCAAGTTCCACATTTCTCAAGTTGGGGGAATTATACCCCCTAGGGCTCTTTACCCTCACCCTGGGTGTCCTTGTGAATCAGTGGTTAAAAGTTAGATTCTGTTACACTCCCTGCCCCAAATCCTGTGGGATAGAGCCCCAAGCCTTCAGTGTATCAGGGGTGTAGATGGTGGGTGACGTGGACCCCCGAGCCTGTCCTGAGCAGCCCTGTCTGCCTGGGAGCTGCTGCAGGCCCCTGGTGCAGAGGCTCTGGGCTGATACTTCCAGGCTTGACTCCCTTCAGCAGGGTGGAGGAGGGGCAGGCAGGAACTGCCAGATCCTCAGGGCCCTGCGGCCACTCCCAGCCGTGGGCTGGGGGCGCTGACCAGACAGCCCTGGCTAATACACCAGCATCACCACTCCGCCCCCCCCCCCACTTCCTGAAGTTAACGCCTGATGCCAACCCCTAACTGCTCCTTCTTACCATCATGTTTGGGGGTACCTCCTCCCTGGTTCTGGGCTCACCCAGGACTGTCTGCTAGCGCCCCTCAGTGTGGCCCCTCGTGGTTCCCATCCTGGGCTTCGGAAGTACCGTGGGCAGGGGACTTAAGAGGGGAAATGCTCTTGGCAGAGGAGAGCCGGCACTGCCTCCTCTCGGGCCCTGTCTGAGGCCCAGCTCCTCAGAGGAGAGGGGTTGGGAAAGGCCATGTTGGGTGGCTGGGCAGAGGGGGCAGGTTCATGAGTGCAGGGGCGAAGTGGGGGAGGGAGAAACAGCGCCAGGACAGAGGTCAGGACAGTGGGGGCTGGGGTCAGGGAGGCGGTGGAAAGTAGTGTTTGAGCCTCCAAGCCTGGTTGGTTCCCCCACTTGGATGGCGGAGGGCAGCGGGGCTGCCTGGACTGGGGGAGCTGAGTGCCCAGGCTGTACCGACAACTTGTGTCCTCTGTAAGGTAGTGTGGGGACGGCAGGGAGGGCACAGATGCGAATATGGGGTGGGGGTTGGATGTTGATCTGCCTTCTTTTCATAGAGGGGTTTTCCTGGTGGCTCAGATGGGAAAGAATCCCCCTGCAATGCAGGAGACCTGGGTTTGATTCCTGGATCAGGAAGCTCCCATAGAGAAGGGAATGGCAACCCAATCTAATATTCTTGCCTGGAGAATCCCATGGACGGAGGAGCCTGGGAGGGTTGCAAAGAGTCAGACGTGACTGAGCAACTAACACACTTCTTTCCATAGAGATCAAACAGTGAAAACCAGATGAACAAGGTGACATTCATAAAAAGTACACTTTCACAGGGGCTTGTGGAGGCTCTGCCCCTCAGTAGGTCAGACCAGGAACCCAAGAATCCTAGGGTCCTCCCATGGAGGGGCAACCCAGCTCTGCACCTAGCCAGGGTGTAGACTGGCAGTACACACGCCACGAGGGGCTGCCCTCTGCTCCACTTGGCAGGGAGAACGCTGTGAGTGAGGCAACGCTCTTTTCCACCGAAATGTGGTCCTTGGGAGGGCTGCCAATTGGCCCCTAGCACAGTAGCTGCAGGTCTTGTTCCAGGCCTCAGGCGATGACCCTGAGGGCTACTTTGGAACCCCCTCACTCCCTGTCCAGGACAGACATGCCCTGCAGGGCAGGCACACAGCACTCAAGGCCGGGAGTGAGCTTTGTGCAGACCTACTGTGTGCCCAGTAGCTGCCCACAGCTTCTCTGCTGCCCCCTGTCTGATTTCAGCTCAAGTACGGGGCCTGAGGCTGGCAAGGAGGCCAGGAAGCCTCTCCAGGGGCCTGGGCCCCAGAACAACTGACCATGTGAACACAAGCATGGCATGTGCCAAGTGCTGCCTTGGTGCCAGGCATGGCTCTTAGTGAAGCTTCCAGGACACACATCC